CTTTTACCTTTACAGATAAAATCGTCTGTACAGTACAGTGTAGTACGGTATAAAAACACGTGTAATCGATTGACAGGAATATTCCGGATAAGTATTTACTCGTATCATGTGTTTTAAAATAAGATTTGAGACATATTTATACCATTTTATAGCCTCCGGAATATCACTAAAAATAACTTTAAAAATATTCAGCAAATAATATTGAATTAATAATTTGCATAAACTCCATACTGAATGTTGTCATTTTGATACAGAATTTTAAATGCTATTTAAATATATTATAATTTCTATAAATATTTCAAATGAAAAGTCAAATTGTTTTCCGAAAATTCATTTTTATTTTCCGTTTATTTCTAAAGCGATTATAATATATAATTATTTTTGATTTCAATTGTCATTACAATAATATACGGATTAATAGGAAAATTACGGCCTTTTAATACAGATTTTTATTAATTATTTGTATTTCGATAACTAATATGCGATACGATTTGTTGCATATTTTGCTGTATTAATGATATAATTATCAGTGCTTTTCACGCAATAGAGGAAACATTCAATTATTATAATACAAATCAATGGATATATTGTATTCACGTCTAAATACAAAGCATTATCAATGGATATAAACGTATAACAAATACTGTCCACTGTTTCGTATAAGTATTACAACATATATTGTGCGGTAAAACACACACACAATACATATTCAATACAAAACCACCGAAAAATAAAACAGACAAAATGTTTGATAAACAAAAAGACTTATAATAATATTAGTAATAATAGTATTTTTCCCTAAAAATAATAATCAAAACACAAAATAATAATAATTAGTACATAAAAGACACAATCGATACCAAATACACCGATAGTTCGCTAAAGTCTACACAAAAGTTTGGTATTTCGAGAGACAATACCCAAATACAATCGGCTTTACGTATGGACTATGTTTTAACGGGTTGTATGGGAAGGAGATTTACAGCACAGACAGACAGATATAAGTGTTTAGTCGCTCTCACTGTCAAGTGTTAGACAAATATAAATACGAGTCAATCAACGGGTTTTAATAATCGTTTTGCACTAATCTTACGGCGCGTCTCACAGAGACATCGGATTCACAAATGATTTGACAAATAGTTATCAAAAACTCACATAAATCTGAATACAATTTGTTTGAATCATAGGATATATGGTGTGTTAAAACATAAAAAACTTTTTTATCATAAAAAGTAAGACCAATAGTAATAATAATTATAATTAAAAATGATTTCAATTGAAAATTTGCGTATAATTTGTGTGTATTTTTTGTTTCGCTATCTTATAGTATAGTATTAATTGGGATTAACGGGTGTTTAGGTGTGTGTGGGAGGGCCGGGAGGCCAGGGATTTCACTCTAGTTTGATGAGCTCCACGTCAAACGTGAGGGTGGCGTTGCCGGGTATGACACCGGGATGTCCTTTACTGCCGTACGCAAAGTCCGGGGAACAGATGAGTCGCGCCCTCTGGCCCACAGACATCTGGAGGGGGAAGGGATGGCAGAGAGTTATCATTGCATTTATGGCTTAGTTATCGGTGTTGGCGATAAGATAGGAGACATATTAATACCTGTGCGACACCGACATCCCAGCCCTTGATCACCTCCCCTTTGCCGATCTTGAACTTGAATGGCTTTCCCCTATCGCGTGATGAGTCAAACTTAGAGCCGTCCGCCAGAGTGCCTGCGAGGGGACAGACAGTCGGTGGACACGGGTATCAGTATATGGTATATGGAAAGCACCGGTAGGTCAGACATACCTGTATAGTGTACGACAACGGTTTGGCCGGTCTTGGGATAAGTGGACCCTTTAGTGAACAAGCAATCGATGGTTTAAAAAGTGTTTTAAATAGCATTTAACGCATAAAACAGCGATTTGTGGGCAAAGTATCGGTGAATGGGTTTTGAAAGCCTAATGCAGTCATCACTGAAAGCATTGCAAATGGGTATTGATTTTCAGTGCATTTATTGATCCCATTATTACCGCTAATAAAACCAATTGTCACCCAAAATGAGTGGTTAAGCGCTGATTATCACCACACCTGATGCCATGCCAACTATCACCGCATTAGATGGTGGTGTGGTCTACGAGACAATCATCGCGCAAAACACTACATACATGTCTGCACAGCACATACACAGCCCTACCCTCCCATCGCATACACATAAACCGCATATTCATAGCCATAAGCCATACATACCGTCGCCCTCTTGGATGGTCTGCACCTCAACGCCCATTATATGTGCACTTCTTCGCCCGTGGATTAGATTGGGTGACAATAATGGAGACAAATGTGAAGATCTCAGCGAAAACCGGGTGTCGTTTGGTTGGGTAGACGTCCGGTGCTGTCGTATAGCTGTGTGTGAATGCTATGAATGCGTGAATCACTCGTACGGACAGTGAGTGTCTCTGCAGACAAACAATGCACTCAATGCTAGGCTTTGCAACCAATGCCTCCCTTCCAAGCAATGGGAATGAGCCAAACATTGCACTGTGTTTTGTACCGTTAGAGGGCGATAGCAGTCCCATAACTATTCAATTATTTTAATAGACGGTCTACTGTCGCTATTGTCAACGATTTAATACGAGTTAATCGTGTGTATTATATCGATGAGCATGGTACGCGAAATTATATGTCTTGATAAGTTGTTAGTTTGATACTTAATTTAATTAGTTTTGTTGATTATAGGGAGAGTTTAGCGTAATATTTGCTCGTATACCGGGAGTCGGCCGTAATCTCAATACACTTACACACAGTGTTTGATAACAAATGCTATGAATTTGAATGAACAACACTTACCAATCCCTATAAACCCTTTCACAGTCATCAGTAGCTTTATATTAGTCTTGTGGTTAACCTTGCTAATTGTTCCCATTTACAATATTTTCCACTATTGCCTGCCATTGTGGTGGAGGGAGACTTCTCTCCAATCGGTCACTTCTTCGGCTATTTACTGGAAATTGGTTTCCGAGGACTCGTTTGTCTCATTTGTTGTGCGATAGCACCGGAAGGGACGACACCTTCGTGTATGAGTTAACCATCGATGGCCGCCTCACACACCGCCCGCAGACTCATTGACATCGGCGCTAACCTCACCGGTAATCACGTGTCTCGCAGACAACTCCTATGCTCTTAATTATCTCTTAATTGTATTGTTTGTATAACTGTTTAATTGTCTGACAATTGTCACAAAGTTTGTCAAAAACTTTTACACAAAGCGCTGATTGTGTCTCATCTGATCCCCAAACAGATCCCATGTTTAAAGGCATATACAACGGGTCACAGAAACACGTGTCCGACTTGA